CAAGCTTTTAAGAACAGTCAGCAAAAACAGCCTGCAGATTTTCCTTAGCATGGGTATCCATAAATTAGTACCATGTACCAGAGGAAAACCGGCTGAAAGGCTGCCGCAAAAAAAACATCACAGCAACAGAAAGCCGCATGTTGCAAACTAATGGCTGCAACTTGCAGGCCTAGCTGGATGCAATAACTTCCTTAACATTATTTATTAGTATTCCCTAAACCTGCTGAATTATATTCAGACCCACAGACCTATACCAGCTCATACAGAACAAATGTATGCATGGGAACCAATACCACCACTGGCAAGCATAGGTAAGAACTACAACCAACCAAGAACATCAGCCACTGATCTGAGCACAATGGGCAATGACAGAGGTGGCAAGTGCAGGTGTCATATATACATCAAGAAGAATGTCAAGAATTCAGTATTTGACTTAGCTGCTGGAGCGAGAACAGTGTTTTTCCTCAATACAGTGCAAAGAATGTGTCACTGCCTGAAGCATGAGAATGAATACACAACACCACACCAAAGTGGTACTATATCCATCCAAAGCCTTAGGACACAACCCATACCCATGCAGTCAAAGGAAACATGTACGGATTTGTAGAATGTCACTGCTGAACTATTCCTTTGATGCAAAGGCTTCAATATATTCTATATTACCAGCAAGGAGCAAGCATGCAGATGCAAGAGTCTGAATTTCCTGCGACTTCACTAGTTGTATGCTTGTTCCAGGGCAGTGGCCCAAAGTATGAGGTCCAGCCTTAGCATTTTCTGAAGGAGGTCAGCACCAGCTGCATTCTTCTCCAAACATGTTTCTTTCGAAAAAATAAAAATAAATAACAAAAAAAAAGGAGCTGGACAAATCCCGGGAGCCGGTAGCCAATGCTCCCCAAAAATGTCAGCTGTCTCATACTGGTTGTCAATGGAGCTGGCTGCTAAGAAAATATCTGCTGGTTCCTGGATTAGACAAACCAGCTCCTGAATTCTGTATTGATTTGTCCACCCCTGCATTAAAGTGTAGGTTACCCCCAGAAAATAAAAATTCTATATATGCGTTAGGTTATTCATATACTTCATACTTAACCTAGCCTTTATTGTTTTTTTTTTACATTTTGTATGTAGCTGATAAATACTGGTGATCCTGCCAGTTCGCCTTGGTTCCAGTTGCAAACTGACCATGGCAAGCATGGAACTAAATCTGCACTGGTGGGGTCAGTTTGCACCCCCACGGCAAGCCAGTAACTCCTGTAGTCAGCTTTTCTCCTGCCCAGCCCTGCTGTGCATCATCAGTGTACTGCGTCATGTGCGCATGTCTAGGGTATACACCTCTTGGCCTGTCCCTAGCTAGTGATTGGCTGCAACACATGGCTGTAGGCAGGGGGAGGTCAACCATCCCCTTATTCCTGCCAACAGGCCAAGGACTCTTCTTCCTGTCTCCATGGAGTTAAAGAGCTACCAGAAAGCGTGACATCAGCACAAGACACCAAGCATCATACGAGATCTGTCTACAGCCCCTGCATCTAAAGGGAGAAGAGGCAGCGGTCACTTGACCACTAAGAAAGAAAGCAAAAGAAAAAAGTTATATGCTTAACCAGTAGGTAAAGCTAGAATTATTATTATTATACAGGATTTATATAGTGCCAGCAGTTTGCGCAGCGCTTTGCAATTTAAGGAAGACATGACAATTACAATACGATTCAAGACAAGACAGGAAGGAGGGCCCTGCCCGGGAGGGCTTACAATCTACGTTTGCCAAGATATACACTGTCTGGCCAAAAAAAAGTCACCATCTGGATTTAGCCAAGCAAATAGGCCCGGTCCTTCCATTGAATAATAGGTTCAGGAACATTATGTGCCCAAAAAATAAGGTCAGCGGTCTACCTAAATATACTGAATGACCAGGTTTTTCCATCAATGGATTTTTTTCTTTCCTGATGGCACAGGCATATTATTCCAAGATGACATCGCCAGGATTCATCGGGCTCAAATTGTGAAAGAGTGGTTCAGGGAGCATGAGAAATCATTTTCACACATGGATTGGCCACCACAGAGTCCAAACCTTAACCCTATTGAGTCTTTGGGATGTACTGGAGACGACTTTTCACATTTATCACTACAAGAGCTTGCTGAAAAACTATTGCGACTGCGGACAGGAATAAAATGTTGTGACATTGCATGAGCTTATGGAAACAATGCCATGGTGTATGTGTGCTGTGATCAAAGCTAAGAGGTTTAACAAAATATTAGTGTGCAACTTTTTTGGCGAGGTAGTGCAGATCACACGTTCCGTTTACAGTTACTTTAAGACAATGTTACCACTGAAACCTGTAACTTAAAAAGGAGAACTATGGGGTCAGTGTTTTCCCCATAGTTCTCCTTAGGGTAACGGGAGGACACAAACTAGCGTCCTCCCGTTACCCTAAGCTCAGTATACCGCGAGCTACAGCTCGCGGTATACTGAGACGCCGGAGCGGATCCCGACTTAGACGACGGGATCAGCCCAGCTGCGTGAGTGACAGCTGGCTCTGCCTATCTAAAGGCAGAGCCAGCTGTACCCGCCCCTTCCGCCAGTCAGCGCTGGCAGATCGGAGCGGGGAGAGGGGAATCCAGCCCCTCCCCTGTCACGGCAGGGAGCCGTGACAAATTCGAGAGGTGAGCGAACCTGGTATGTGTTCGCTCACCTCCCGATCTACTGAGCCGACCTGTGACAGTCTCATTGTCACAGGTCGGCTAGAACTATGAGGTGAGTGAAAAGCACTTACCTCATAGTTCTCCTTTAACACAGAACAGAAAATGAAGTAAGATGTGAAAAATCCAGGAGCCTTTTCAAACCTGGAAAGCTAGAAGTAAATTCTACGATAAACTCTTACTGTATAAAGAACAGACTGGGTTGGATTACATAAACATTCCTGCATTTGTTTACCTTCTGATAGAGGACATTACAAGAACCACAAGCATTGTATTTTATGTAGGGCTGGTAATTATTACAATTTTCATGTATAGAATACAGAACAGGAAACAGCAACAGAATAAAAATAGTGACTTGATCTTCTCCGAAAATCTATTCCTGAGCAAATTTTGTGGCCAACCAATAATATTACTACACCTCCCAGAAGAAAACCACAGAGGCTGCCATCCTTCAAAAAATGCTAGTTGCTTGGTTGGGCCCGAGTTCCATACGTCTAAGTCACTGGCTCACAGAAAGCATGCAGCATACGAACGAATAAAGTCAGTTTGTAAACTTTTTCCTGGTCAGAGACTTATAGCATTAAATCTTAAAACAGCAGCCCGCTGGCCAGGGAACTAGCATTATCAGAAGGCGAGTTTGGCAATGGCAGCCTACAGATTTCTCTTAGGACAGGTTTTATTTAAAGTGATTAAAGCAAGGCTGGATAAATCCCAACACTCAGGTAGCCAATGCTCCTTAAATATAGCTGGTGCCTAAATTTTGAGGTTTCCTCCAGTTGTTGTTAATGGGGCTGGCTCCAAAGAAATATCCTGCTGGTTGCTGGACATGATAGCTCATAAATATAAAACAATTTGCCCACCCCTGGATTAAAGTGACCCCACTACCTTACAAATCAGTAAAAGATGAAGACTACTTACCTGTCTGTCATGCAGCGACTCCAGTCATTGTTCCTTGTAGAGCTATGGCCATTGATGGACACCATAGAACAAAGAAGTGACATAGCGGCAGGTGGGTGGAACCACAGCATGCCATGGGGGACAAGGCACCCAACAGTCCCCATATTGCTGGAGTAACTGCACTCCAGATAGGAGAGTATACTACTTCCTTCACGCGGTGCTTCCGTTTTTGTCCCCAGACACCAACAAGGTCACTTTAAATGGGAGTAATACTGGCCATATACTACTTGAATTTCAGCCGTTGAGCCAGTGGGCTGCACAAGAGAAGAGAAATCAATTCCCCCATCCAAGCTAACAGTGTAGATGGTGGAATCTCCACTAGCAGGAATTGTATTCAGGCAGCTGCAGAACCTGTAGTTTGCTGAATACCTGAACATTACCAGCATCTACTAGGATACAGTTGCTGTTTGGCCGATAATTTCCGTCGAGCCGGACGGTGCTTGCAGGGCCATCCACAGCACATATTATGAGCAAGGTTGGCCATAGACAGCTCAAATATCTGCCAATTCCTGCTGAATCAGGCAACATTGGAGCAGTCCATGGCAAGCTTTGGTCAAAATTTTCATAGGACAATGAGCAGAAACAAACTAAAATACATTTTATTGGTCTGGCTTCATTGAGGGCTTGTTCACACCAAGCGCGTTCCAGGAGCAGAGCAGTTACAGACCGGAGCAAAACTGCATCCAATCTACTCCAATGGTATTTTGGCCTCTAGTTCCTACCACAGCGTTCAGTTCCAAAGCATGTAAAAAAAACTGCAGCAAGACCTATTTTACCTGCTCTGGAACGCATGCAAATGCATCAAAAACGCATGCAAACGCCCTGGAACGAACTGAAAGCCCATTTTTTAACCAAACACGGCCTGGAACGCATCAAAAATGCAGCTAAGTTTAAGATGGGCTTTGTGTGTTCCAGGGCGTTTGCATGCGTTCCAGAGCAGGTAAAATAGGGCTTGCTGCAGTTTTTTTACATGCTCTGGAACTGAACTCTGCGGTGTGAACTAGAGCCCAAAATGCCATTGGAGTACATTGGACAAAGTTTTGATCCGGTCTGTAACTGCTCTGCTCCTGGAACGCGCTCGGTGTGAACAAGGCCTTAAATACCTCTTACATGTACAAAGCATTAGATACTATCATACACATTTCTGATAAAGACACCAACTTACCTGCCCCATATGCCTTGGCGACCAACCAGGCCAGAGTGCTGGCCACCTTGGCCCCAAGCAGGCAAGATTGCTGGCCATATTCTATTCCTCATTACTGTTCTCGGAACTTCTTCCATGAATTACCACTTACATGTACACAACAAATAAATACCATCCTACACATTTGTGTCAAAGAAAAAAGACTTACCTGCCCCATAAGCCTTGGCAACCAACCAGGCCAGATTACTGGCCACCTTGGCCCTGTTGAAGTCATAGTGATCAAAAGGTTTGATGGCAGGAACAATGAAGGTTTTCTTCACCTGCGCATTTTCTGCAACGTCTACCATGGTTGAATCTTGCAGGCCTTCGCAATTTACATGTTTCAAACAACCAAAACAGGCCAGTTTAACATTCTACAGCACAATCCAACGATACCAAATCAAAACGATGTACCATTGCTTATCCGCCACAAGGAAAACGGTTCAGGAATCACCTTTGTCCTCGGCTCAACTCTTGTATATTTCCTATTACTAAATCTGATGTAAATATTTACATCAGAGAACCTTGCGTTGTTCAATAGGTAATAGGTCAGATTTTTCCAATGTAGGTTATATTTATGAGCATTTGTTGTGTAACGTCATCCTTTGTGATGCATCTATAGGTGGAACTTGATGGACCCGTCTCTTCTCTCAGAAGACCTAGACAACCATGTTACTAGGTCTTAAAGCGCATTAAAAAGAATAGCAGCCGATTGACGATGCCGTACCAATACTTTTGTGTTTAGCCATAAATCACATGCACAATAAAATCAGCGCATCCGAAAATGAGAAGTTTAGTGTCTTTTAGTGTTAGCACAGGGGAATGTGGTGCTGGAAATGTCTTTCTTCCAGAGCTCAGGTGATCAGCTTGTTCTAAAAACAACCGTGTAGATTAACTTGCTTCCATCAGTATGCATAGTGCCTGCATGTGATCCTTACTAGGAGGTGATGTGTTGCTGATTTTTAAATTACTGACACAAGGGCACAGCCTGCGCTGGGGATTTCGCAGTCAAAGTCATTGGCAGAAATGCAGCATCAAATCATCTCATGACAGAAGAGGCTACAAAATATTCCTATGGATCTCTCCCCCAATGGCGGCGGCAGCAGCAGATCCTCCAGGTGCTACCGTTAGTGTTGCTCTCCTGAAGATGCGGCAGATCCAGCAGGTATACGTTGACTGATGCACAGATGATTCACCCGGAGCTCCGCTCACACATCTCATTCAATCATCGCACATTGCAGGCTGCCAGCGCCCGGGATTCCTCTACATACGAACACCCGAACTACAAATCGGTCCGGGCTTGTCCCTAATGAGCGCTATCCGGTGTGATCGTGCGATGTCTCCTCTCCAGTGGCTGCACAATTCCAGGGGAGGTCTGACGACGGGACATGTCTCGGTGCACAGGCCCTGCCGGCGCTGGATTTCTTGTTCCGTTTCAATGTATTAACCCTCCCTTTTCCCTCTGTTTGTTCCTATCTTCTTTATCTGCCCCCTCCACCCTCTTCCCTGTCTCCCTCCCCCGTTTCCTCTTCTCCCCGCCCGCCGCCGCTGCGGGTTTTCCTGCCGCACTGGATAAGAAGACAGCTGTCACTGCAGCGCATGCGTGGACTGCAGGAGGCGAATTTGCGCATGCGTAGCTCGGCGACCCAGATGGATGGCTGTAGGCATGCGCGTGGGTTGTGGTGTGTGGCGATGAAGGGCTTGTGAAAGCAAAGCAATAAAGCAGACGGTTTATGTAGAACACTCTCTAGCTGCCGTTTGTTTGTGGTTGTAAGGGCAGCTGAGGCTTTGCGGTTCGTGTTTGTCAGTGAAAGCACACTTGAGTTTTATGGCACACAGGAAAAACTAATATCGACGCAGGACTTTCCTGCGTAAAAATCACATTGAAATGGTCCGTAAAGTGCGTATGTGTACACACGTTTAGATGTGTAAATGTCCATAAAGCCACATGCACAGGGACGTATGAGGCTAGAGAGCAGGGGTGGGCAACTCAGGCCCTCCAGCTGTTGTGGGACTACATATCCCATGAGGCAATGCAAGATCTCACAGGCATGACTCCCAGAGACAGATGCATCATGGGATCTGTAGTTTCACCACAGCTGGAGGGCCAGCGTTTGCCCTCCGCGCTATAGAGTGTAAATTGCGGGTGTAAATATGCCTGCACAATAGCTGCCCATAGTAGTGATTGGGTGTAGGTGACTGCATGTGGGTTTATGCCGCTACTTGCTTAAACCTGTACATGTGTAAAGCCATACACCCGTGTGCAGGCACAGGTTTATGCAAGTAGCAGTATCGGCTGTGCTACACAGAAGAAAAACAGATTAACGGCCCCCCACATAGTGTAAGTGCGATAATACCGCGGATTCCGCATGTTCGCAACTATATAATAGCCGCAAACAAGCAGATTCCGTGCAGTTGATTCACATATAGCGTTTGTGTCCTGTGTGGTCTTCCGCGTGGGAAACGCAAACGCTATATGTGAATGGAGCCTCAGTACTATGGGCAGCCGCAGTTGTGTGTCCTGGGCATGGAAATACAGCTGCAGTTGTACAGCCTCATGTGCCGTGTGCATGAGGCCTGAAACTTCCTCCCATTCTTCGAGGTCAGTATTCAACGTGTGTAAATTATGGAGGAACACTGTGTTACCTGAATTTTGTGATTTCATTCTACACAGCTGCACCCCTTGCACCAAAAACAGCGCTGTCCCCTTATTTTTAATAATGGCCCCCCCCACCCCCTTTCTACATATCAAAATGCTTTATAAATAATTTAAAAATAAAAGCCTTTGGGGAAAAAAGTTAATATGTTTACCTTATCTCCGGCTTCCTTCCCTGACGCCCTAGTCGAGAGTGACATCACCATCTTTCCGGGAAGAATGTGAGTATTGAAAATCTTGTGAGAAGAGTTCTGCACTGTTTGCCAGCGTGGGTGCTCGAAGTGACCGCGAATGGCGCCGCTCACACCCCACAGTACATAAGCTGAGGTGCTGTAGGTATATTTGCTAACCTTGTTTTCTTCACAGGATTTTTTTTTATTTGTCTAAAGCATTTTTTGCATTAAATTGAGGGATGAAAAAAGAGAGCTTGCTTGGTAGTGCCATAGCTCCCATTTGTTCCTCATTTGGAGGGACTATCCCTCTTTTGGAACGAAATCCCTCTGTCCTTCTTTCTCCCTCCTGTCCTTTTGTCTTTTTTCATCTGATGTTTAGATCTATATATACTGTAAATATAATTTCAAGTTTTGTAAGTGCGCATTTTATCACAGCCTCCCTGGTGCCCTACAAGCACTCCGCAAGCTTTCACTATTCTGCCTGCTGCTGGTTGATGGTTGAGGTGACCGGGGCTGGGATGCTCTCTGTGTTCCCTCACCTGGCACTGAAATGAAGCCAGTATTGTAAAGGTGCCCACACACCTTAAAATTATGGGCCGATTTTTGGCCGCGATCGCGTTTTCGTCCGATAATCGGCCAGTAGGTGAGAAGTGCAAAACCACAATTACTGTACAACTGCCCGCTTTTCGTCTTTCAAGCGAACTACACTGGTCTGTGCATGATGGGCTGTTTGATCGAAAAGTGAACAAGGGTGAAATGTCGGGACAAAAAAAGTTGTGCAATGGTTGTAAGGTGTATGGCCAGTTTAAAGTGACATTAAAGTCAAACTTTTTTTCCCTCCTTCCCTTAAGGTAAGGGACTTACCTTAAATCATGTTTCTTAATACGATCTTTTTCTTCTTTACTGTGCTTTTCAGCTGTCCCTCCAGCGCTGGTGCGGGTCTCCTCTGTCCTCTTCTCTGAGTCTGTGCGGGTGCATGCTGCTCCATATACTTAACATTGTGTGTCTCCTCGTCTCCCGACCGAACATCTGAACTGCACATGCACCCGCCCTAAGATACTTTGCGACCGCCCGAGAAATTTTCAAATGTTCGGACGGGAGCGGGCGGCGGAAACACAGGTAAGTATTAACCCTTAGAAAAAGTTTTTTTTAAAATCGTTTTGCATATATCTACTGCTTGCATTTTCTTCTTTCCAGTAGTTTTCAGCAGTCCCTCCAGAGCTGGTGCTGGTCTCTAATCCAGCGCTGAGTGCTATTTCTTCCTATCCCACGGGGTCTGACTGACGTGCACACTCACAGCTGCGTGCATTGACCTTCACTGTAGCTCTCCTTCTCTCACCGCCGGTAAAGTCCACTGCGCATTTCCCTGCACACATCCTCCTGCACGGCCGCTCGAGAAGCTACAGTTCTACAGCCGCAAGTGTGCGGCGGAGACAGAGGTAAGTTTTTACCTATTTGGTAACTTTTTTTTTTTTTTATGTTTTTGCATATATCTACTGCTTGCTAGCAGTAGATATATGAGACTTTAATGTCAATCTAGAGTCCATGGACCCATCACACTCAAAACCGCTGTTACTTATAAAAGACGGGTGCTGCGGCAGTCGACGGATGGCAACCGTCTATAATCACAGGCTAACATAGACACCGGCACTCCAAGTAATGAATCAATAGCGTCTGTTTATTGATGCATGAAAGATAGCACAATGTATCAAAAAGCAATGTTTCGGGGTCTCACAGGATCCCCTTCATCAGGCAAAATGAGTGATCACTCATTTTGCCTGATGAAGGGGATCCTGTGAGACCCCGATGTTATCCTTTAATGTCAATCTAACTCCTAGTGACTCGCAAAGTCACAACTACTTTTTCTCTAGACGGGTCTCCTGGTATGGTGACATCTAATGGCCAAACAGGAGCACTACATCGGACCTCTTGTTTCCCTAACCTACAGCACAAACATTAGCTGCTGTTGTGGGGCACACTTAAGGTCCCTAAGATTTTTCAGTTGACCACCACTTCTCTAAATTATGGCATTTGTTATTCTGAAACACCAGCATAAAGAAAAAGCATTGTAGAAAAAAAAAAAAAATTGTGTTTCATTCATATGACATCTCAGCTTACAGGCCCGAATGCTATTGTGTTATTTGACAGCCCAGAATGTCGGTGAGTTGGCGGGCATCGTTCATCGTGATTGACGTTGGATTGCATCAATGGTGCCAATTTTTTTAAATAAAGAAATTGTCAGAAACTGACTCTTTTGTTTTTTGTTTTTTTTTCAATTAAATGACTTTTTCAAAAAGTGTGGTTTCTTTATTTACATTTACTTTTAACTCTTTATTGAATGAGTAATTACCCCCATTTACTAAAAATCACATCAGTCCTAGTCACATGTGTCAGAGTTCCTGGGAAGTAAAGGAAGATGGATTCATCTGCTCTTAGTTAAAATGGCCACTGTGTGAAGAATGGAGAGGAAAAGAAAAATAAGGTATGCAAAGAATAAAATGCTTGCAATTATCTATAAGTA